AGTTCTCCAATTTCTGAAGTGACCTTGAATTGCAGATACCAGAATCAGGTACAGGACTCCAGTAGGACTCAAAAGTAGGACCAAATACATATATCTCCCTAATTCCACTTCACATTGTCCCCAAGAATTGCATTAATACACTAGTTGAAATACCAAATTTATTTCCAGTTAATTATCTTCATTGGGGTCAAAACCAGTCCGAAGCCTTCTCCTCAAATACTTTTCCAGACTGGACATGGTCAGAATCCACACTGTCAAGCCCTTGGCTCAAAGCTGACAAAAACTTGACATCATTTGCATATACCGAGCAACCAGAAGTTCCACTTCTGTACAGAAATACAGTAATATTTGGCACTAAATCTGGATTTAGAAATAATTGTCTCTCCTACATCCTATGCTTTTTAAATCTTGAGCTAGATGTCCAGAACACATTTTTCTCAAACTATGTGACCTAAAAACTTTGAGCATCAGCAGAATGCCAGTACTAATCAAAACTACATTAACAACACAGCCCACCTAACTAGTCAGAAATCTCATGGACAAATAAAGTCTATCTCAGTTATACCTTAGAATAATGACTAGAATTAAGACACATTTTAGTGTTGACAGTTAAGGCTGTCCTGCCAGGAAGATTTTGATTTTTCTAAAACATTCAGTGCTTGCTTGCTTCATTTCTTCCTTAACAGATTCCACCTCACTACAACTATGCTTAACTTTAGAAAGACATTAAAAATCAAGCATGAATACTGTTTTCAAAACCTTAAGGAAGGCTGACAATATTCTCAGGGGTAAGTTTAAAGAATGATAAAACACTTAATAAAAGAAAAACTGGTATATAGATAAAATAGGAAGGTGCTGAAATCAGGAAATATCTGGCAGCAAAACTTACAATACAAGTATTAAATAAGTTAAACAAGGATGAAAAAGTGAGCAAGACTCTGCTTGTCTATTTTCACATATTCATCTCTAAAGCAAGATTTAAATACTCCGGAAAACAAATCCCACTGTGAACAGTAGGTATGACCATTACCACTCATTCATTTGCTGAAATGATTCTCAAATAGTCTTAAAGACAAAGAGACTTAAATACAAAGATGCATCTCGCATTGTGAAACACACTAAATTCAGAGAATCAATGTCACTATCTCATTCCATTCAGCACCAGTTTTGCCACAGGGTGTGCCAAGGTTAATCTTTCTTCTGTTGCAACTGGAAACATATCCGATACCAATAGACAGGTTGCGTCGCCTTGTTCAACATAAGCACCTGAAGACAATTTGAAGACAAACACGCTACCTTTCTCGAAGCATTCCGATTCTTTTTAATAACAAGCATTAAGGAAATCTTATGATTTATGTAGTTAAACAACAAAAAGCCATGCTGGTGTAGAAATTACAGTAGAGGAAAATTGGTATGTATGCAACTGATATTTGTAAAGTTCAACATATGAGCTATTTCAGTTTCTTATTTGCATTTCTAATAAATTCATCCAGTTAACCTCTTTCAGAACTTCTTAATGTATCAAAATGGTTAACTATGATATGTCTCACTTGGTGAGCTTAGGCAGAAACAACTCTATTATTCATTTTTGGTTTTGCTTATAGGTCGGTTCTCGTCTGAGATAAGCATTTTTTATGGCTTCATTTTCTAAAGATTCTGATTTGGCAATCTTGCAAACCAAGAAAGAATGTGAACTAAACTTGCTTCTTCCAAGACATATACTTACTGGTGTATGAGCTTATTTAATTATTGGGTCTTCTGCCTGGTCATGCTTCTAGATGCGCAATCTGCCTCGCTCCCTTTTGTCAGTTAGGACAACATTAGAGCTTTCCACAAGCTGGTTTAACTCACTGAAGTTATAAAAAAATACACCTCCTCCTTCATTTTTGCTGAGTTACGTATTTATCGGATGGAACATGATCAGAGCAGTATGAAATGTGGCTACGAACTATAAAACGTGTTTTGTACTGGCAGCACAATTCAGTATTAATCTGTTGAAAATACACCTAAAACTTCCCCAAGTGAGTTACTGAAGTGCATCCCAGACAAATTCCCCGTACAGGAAATACGACACGCCTTGTTAAGATGAGACTTTCATAGTTCTTTCAAAGAGAGGGCTGTGGCTATCAGTTTTCATAATCTCATCTGCTGGCTCATCCTTCAGGATTCTCCCGCCCCACCTCCCCCACATCCTCACCCGAAGGTAGGGACGAGTATTTCTGGGCTGGGTGTAACAGGCAGCAGCCCACATATGAGCTCAAATACACATTCTCTCTCACTTGAATGTTTAAAACTGGGTGTTTAAAACCCATGTGATTTTTAGGAAGAAAACACAACAGAATCAAACCCAGAGAATTACAGGTCAAAGACAGCTCTAATGAGGGCAGTATCTTTATCTCTTAGCCACACCTTATAGGAACCACTGTTTTATGAGCACAAAAATGCGCTGCAGAGTAGTCATTCTAAATAATCTTTAGAATATGATTAAGAAAAATATGTCAATTTAGTATCAGGTTACAGCTCACAATGGGACCCCAAAAAGTAAAACCATGCAAGAAAAACCGAAACTATTGCTATTAGATTTTGATGTACATATATGTGAGAAAGGAGAAGAAGCAGAGTGCAGGATGATAACACAAGTATCACTAATTATTCCCTTGAAATATCTGTGCTCGTCAGTTAAAGGCATCTGATATTTCAAAATTAAACCACACAAACATCTATTGATGTGCTATTGTCTCAAGATGTATATTCACAAACCGGTGAGATGCCAGGGAAGGATTATTTTTTCCTCTTAAAAGGACATCTATGATAACTGTTATCATTAAGAAAGAGGAACTGCTTGGATTATATTTAGCTATTTACAGGAGATGAAGAATCTAAAGATTCTGAATCAAATCCCTGGAAGAAAGGCTCTACGTGTTTAAGTAATCTTAGGTACTGTAATTAATACACTCTGCTATGTAATCTAAGAGGTAGGCCACTTCTGCAAAATCCAAGATGACAGGTGACTGCAGAAACCAGGCTCTGAATGGTTGAAGTGAAAATCAATGACTACGGATGGTCAAGACAGGACAAGAAACTCTGACAAACGTTGTACTGAAAAGCAGACCGCAGTGCATATTTAACCAGGAAAGGCTTTACTTTTTGTACGTCAAATTGAAGATATCCAGGTTCATAAGCTTAGAGAAAGCATCTCTGAATAAGAGGATTTTCTCTAAATCCAGATGTTCCACAACAATTTGTAGTTCTCTCTATACTTACTGCTTGCCTCACATTACTGATCTGCACAATAATCTATTAAAGATAACTACAGCACCTACAATTGTACAAAAAAGGCTACTCACAATGACAGGACAATGCAATTTGTTTGCATCTTGCTAAAGGGGTTTCCATCAGACTTCTACATCGGCAAAAAAGGATACCACTTAGTAATATCCAAGCAGCTCAAATAATGTATAGGCATGTTCCTTGTAAGCAAAGGATATCTTTATATAGTTGTGACTGCAGCTAGCTTTAAATTGTCATGTACGCTATTAACAACTATAACTACGTTTAAGTCTAGAAATGCGAAAAAAATACATCAGGTCTCTCCATATGCTAACAAACAGCTAAATAACATTAGCATAAATGTATGATTTGCTGCTACAACCCAAAAATGCAAGCACAGTAAAAGAAAATGTTTAGATTAGTAGTCTCATGAAATTTTTGCAAGATAGCAACACCTCCCTGATTGTGCTTGTGAAAGATGATTGATTTCATTAATTGGTGAAGAAAGGCAGCCAGATACCTAATTAGAACTAAGGCATTTCCTCTAAAAATGCGCCTTCTCTCACTCCCTCTCTGATGACATTGAAAGATAGCAAGCAAGCAACTTTTTTCAGTGGAACAACTGAAACAGGTGCCTTAATTATTAAGTGTGCCTAATCTTTTATTTAAGAAACCTTAGAAGAAAGCTTTCCCACTCCCTCCCAAGTAAAGGCAGTTTCTACCCCATCAGCAAGCCAACTACTTTTTTAAATTTATTTTTATAGGTCAGTTTAAGCTAAACTTCTCCAAAAAAATAACCCCAAGCCAAACCAAAGACAACAAAACCCAAACCTCACACGACTGCACTTTAAAGTAATTTTTCCCTAACTCTCGAACACTATCAGGTTCTGTTCTCTACCTTCTTAAGCACTTAAACATCTTTTCTGGAATTATGCATGAGAAAATAAAGACGTTTACTACTAGTCTCACTGAAAAAAAAAAGAATTAAAAATTGATATTTAAAAATCAACTATTTATTTTCAAACTGTTGGTTACATATTCAAGGGTTACAAGGTGATTCTTTCTTTTCCCTAAGTGTACTGTACTGGAAGTCTATTTTTGTCCATCATGCTCCAAAATCTCTTTCAGAGCCAGCACTACATACAAATACTTTATATCCATTACTACATACTACTCCATAAATAAAATCTTAATCGGTAACTTTTCTTCCCCTACTCAAAATGAGTCAGAAGGAACACCCGAATATTCAGCATCACCCACCATTTGCCATCGATGCAGAATAAGTGACATTTTACTCAAAGAGCTGCCGAAGCACAGACGGCTCTGGCTCAGTGAGGAAGGTTATTATCAAAAGTAGCTTCATCTGGTTCTTGAAATTGAACAAGAGGGTGATGACAGTGCAGAAATAACACGGCACCGGTGCAGGCAGAGAGCCCATTAAAACGCTAAAACTAAACCGCCTCGGACAGCATAAAAATTTGGGCGAACGCAGGGAGGCCCCTGCGTTCTCTCTGCTGTGTTTACAGGCTGTTGGGTGATTCACCAACCCGACAGCCGGGCACGGCGTCAGCCCCCCCCCTCCAGCAGCCCCCCTGGAAGCACAGGGACCCCGCAGGCCCCCCTCGGAGAGGCCCGCCCCCGCCGCCGTCACGGCAGTCCCCCTCTCCGGCGGGGCCCATCGGCACTCCCCCCGCAGCACACCCACCCGCGGGGCGGCGGCCCGCGCTCACCTTGTCCGAGTCCAGGTCGGGGTCGGCCTGGCAGAGGCGGAAGAGGAAGGACTTGGGGTCCCTGCAGAGCGTCTGCCGAGTGGTCAGGAAGCAGGTGCC